AGAACCATATCTCCTATTCTCTTTGTATCCTTTCTTATCCCTCCCACTGAACTGTTCACCAAACTCATTAATGCCCACTCAAGCCACTACTGAGGCATAGAATTGTCTCATAGTATGATGACATGCCTAGTATGTAATCCAAATGGAGAATAGGTACTAGTCTAGGGAAGAAAGCATAAGCAATTAAGTAATTTTAAAATGCAGGTAGAGAATGAGTATATGCCTAGGGCACATAGATGAAATTGTGAAAATGAATTTTTTTATGTTGAGAGTTTATCTATATGAAAAGACCCTGATGTGAAAGAGTTGTGTCCAAGTTCAAATTTAGCCTCAGTTATTTACTAGCTATGTGACCCTGGGCAAGTCACTTAACCTCAGTTGAAGAACAGCACCTACCTTACAGGGCTGTTGTGAGAATCAAGGGAGATATTTCTAAAGCACATAGCATAATGCCTTGCACACAGTAGGAACTATGTCAATGCTTATTCTTTTTCCTTCTCCCCCACTCCACATGAGTTAACAGCATGAGATAGCAGCCAAAGATGTTGTTTAATGCTACCCTTGGCTGCGTTAAGGAGGACATGGTATCCAGAATGAGGGTGGCAATAGTTCCGATATCCTTTGCCCTGGTCAGACCACATCTGGACTGCTGTTTCCAGTTCTAGGTGCCATATTTTAGGAAGGAAATAGATAAGCTGGAAGACATCTAGAAGATAGTGATGGTGCAAAGACTAGAGCATACGGCATACCAGGATCAATTGAAGGAACTGGGGATGCTTAGCCTAGAGAAGAGAAAGAGCTACAATATTGTGGGGCCAACGGTGGAAGAAGTAATTTCAAATGAGGCCTGTCCAAAAGTGAAAGGGGCTGCCTTGGGAGGTGGTGGGTTTCCCTCCGTGGAGGCCTTAGATTGTGTGAAGCTGTGTGGGACTTGGTGAGCCATGCCATCTCTCCCAGTTCTGACACTCTCTGATTCTCTAAACCCAAGTTTAGAGTCATCTCAGCAGGTTATATTCCTCCCAACGGGCTTCCTGTCATCATGTCCCTTCTTTGCCTTTATCACCAGTCAGCTTTTTTTCACGATTGTTTTCACACCCTCCCCACTTCCAGTTGCATACAAAGGTCTGGCAGGAGGTGGCATCATCACAGATTCACAACCTATGAAACCAAAGATTCCATACAGCTCAGGGAGGCCAACCTCCATTATACCTACCAGTTATTATAATAGAATAACTATATTCTTCTGTCATTTAGGCAACCACTATTTGGCAAGTTGCTCCTCTAAGGGATGTGATGGATAGAGGGCAGTGAGAAGCATTCTGTAATAGGAGACTACTAATGAAACCTATTCCTTTCCAGCTCCCCAAAGAAAATCAGTCCATTAGCCCATCTGTTTCTGCCCCTAAATTTTAACTTCTTGATGACCAAATGCTCTTGGTTCAAGACCTCACGGACATGGAGATTTCTGGAAACTTTGTGGCTGTAACCATGCATAACTAGGATCCATTTCCTTTGATTAAACCACTTGGAGACTCAGAACAATACCAAGATTTTTTTCACCACTTGATTTTCTCCATTTCCAGTCACATCAGGTGTCAAGTAGACTAGTCATTTAGTGGAACCCAGGGAAGATCATGATTCACTCTTCATAATGCAAGCAACATAATTTTGGGCTTTTGCTTTGGGTTATGTGATTGTCAGCCATCAGCTCCTGCTGGACTCCAAGCTGGTATTTGATGCCCCAATACCTATAGTTATGGAATGTCTTAGTACCCATAGACATAGACACTTTATTACCACACCAACCCTACGATTTCATTATTAACCTGGTCTCATGGTCCCCAATCACAGAGGATTACTGATATTCCCTAACTTGGCCCAAGAATCTGAAGGTCCAGAAGTTCTCAGAGAAGAAACTGCAAAAGAGATTCATCCAGCCTTCCATTTACCTTCATTGTTGTAACCAAAGTGTTACTAATAGAAGAAAAGTAGAGAACTATACTTCTATCATGATTACTAGATCCTCTATGTAATAACTATTTGGGGCCAGTATTTTCTACCCTTCATATCTATCTAAATTTGCTGGCTCAGATTATTACATTTATTACTTTGGACTTATGGGGAATGCACAACTGATTCATAAACAGCAAAGTGACGAATGGAATACTCCTTTCAAGACCAGACATGCACATTTTGCATATATAGTGATGTCTTTTAGGTCATGCAATGCCCTCATAGTCTTTCAGAAGTTCACAAATTCAATCTTTCAGGACCTATTTGAACATGGAGTGATCTCCATCTTGATTTATCAAAACTCTCATCACAACTTGCTCTTTATCTTGGAGACTGACAGGTCTGATATCATTTTGGGAACAGGTTGTCTTTCCCTTTAACATGACTACTTACTTCTTCTTCCAAATGTTATCACCAGCAGAAAGAAACTCTATCATCTTGGAGAAAGAAATCTTCACAGTCAAGACTTCACTCAAGGCCCAACAGCAGTAGGATAGGGAACACCTGGAATCCCATATAAACTATAATCACATAAACCATAGGAATATTGAACCATTCCAAACTGTCTGGAAATGTAAATCTGAAGGGTGTTATTCTTCAACAGGTTTCATGTGTCTTAGGTAGCAGCATTGAGTGAATATATATCTAATCTTGAGAACTGCAGTACAGGAAACTTTCTAACCTGAAGGTGAAAAATTTCACAGCAACTCTGTACAATCCAAGCATTCTGGTTCTGATTTGCCAGAAAAATGGTAGGGTACATATATCCAAGTTCAATAGTCCATGTTCCAATCATGCCCCAAAACTGGGTCAATTTAGATAAGAGGGGCTAAAAGCACATCACTGGTTAAGTGGATTAAGAAGAGGGGAGGGTTGAGGAAAATGGTGGGGAAAGGAAGATTATACCTGTCCTCAAGTCACTGAAACATAGTTAGGTGAAAAGAGGGATTAAATATATTTTGCTTCATAGCAAAGGGTAAAACTAGGAGCAATGGGTGGATGGGGGAATTTTAATTTGATTTGAACTGCCCAAAATTGAAATAGCCTCAAGTAGATAGTGAGTGATCCAGTACTGGAGATCTTTTAGTAAAACATGATTTCTTGCTGGGGATGTTGTAGAGGATGTTTCTATGTAGGTATAATTGGATTAGAGAGCCTCTAAAGTCTCATATAACTGAAATTCTATGCTCCTGTGTTATGCTTGTCCAACCCCACTCTAGATGCTATGTTCTCTTACAAGAGGTTTAATGGGTAATGACTGGCCATGTTGACCTTCAAAATATCGTCATTTGGGATTTTTGGTGGATGGACATTTGGCACAATGATCAATAAATAGGTGGGCTGTATAGTGGAGAGATCATTGGATGTGGAGTCAGGATGAACTGGGCTCAAATTCCTCTTTCAATATTGTATTCATGGGCAAGTCACTCAACCTTTTTAAGTCCCAGTTACCTCTTCCGTAAAATAAGGACAACATTACTTGTAATACCTCAGAGGGCTGCAACGAGGCTCAGAGGAGATAATGTATGTGTAACAGTGGTCATCCCAAGTTGCACATGTGAGGATAGTCCTGTAGGCCTCTTAATAAAGAGTATGTGCTACCAGACACTGTGAATGGTCCTCAGGATTGAGGTGCTCTACTGCAGAACACTGGCACTGGGCAGGGTAAGCCTCCTACTCGAGAGACCACTTATGCCCTTACACTCTTCTTCCTCTCTTCTGACTATGTGGTTTGAGACTGACAGTTCTTTCTTTCCTATGATGGGGGGGGGCAGGAAATCATTCTCTTTTTCCCCTCCCCCTGGCAGTGATGGTGGTTGCTCTTACATAGAAACAGAAGCATATGCTTGTCTAAGTGAGCCTGAAATTGGATCTCAAAGTCCTAGCTGCCTCTTTAATATTTCTTTCCCTGAGCACACTAAAGACTGAACAGTGATCCTGAGGGATAGACTCTTCAAGCCTGGAGGCCACCCTAAGAGTGTTCAGGAGCTTCTAGCTCCTCAGTCAGTATCTGCTGCTCTGAAAGAGATGCTCCCTGTAGCTACAACTTCTTAGAACACGCCACACACGCAAGGCTGGCCAAAGGGTGTAGTCCTTGAGTAAGCTGCTGAGATGGCACTGTAGACCTAAGCTAAAAGTAAAATGCCTCTTTAGCTATCCCACAAAGTAGGGTAAATATCAACCTCTGGGGAGAGTACGATAGGAATGTTGGGTTGTTTCATCATACTTCAAGTATATGTCAATGAATGCTTAAAGGTCTTTCATGTTTTAACCAATTCTTTTGTGGTACAGGGAAAAGTTATCGTATTTAGCTATGACTTACATTATATATTGAGTGCCATTAACCTTTTGGATAGATCCTAGACATAAGCCAAACCTAAGCTTTAATAGACTTTCCCCAGGATTCCCTGGTAGAAATGTACTGATCCAGAAACTAAGGGAGGTACCTAACTACCTTTAGGATATGCTCTAGGGCCAGGCTTTCCACCCTAGGACATGTCCACTTAATTCCAGTGCTGGGGCCTCTTGGTGAGAAGAAAAGGCTCTGCCCTTGGGCTTGTGGATTGTTTTTATGTGTGCATATATATGTATACACATAAATAGACACATATGTATTATGTCTCTGTATGTGCCTATGTATGTATGTGTATGTACATATTTATTTAATTTTTTTCCCTGAGAGCTTGGCCATTTTTTTTATTTTCAATTTAGTTTCTGCCATCACCTATGCAACCTATGTAGAGAGTTATTTGCAAATTTTAAAAGTGCCATATCAATATCAATTACTATTATTATTATAATATCCATAAAAGTCTGATGCCTCTTCAAGGTATGCAGATGACCCTTGATCAAAGATTATGCCAGTGAAATGCAAACTCTTGCAGATGATACCATTCTGGAAAATTTTCAAGAACAGTATTAGTATAAGTCTTTCCAAGGACCAGCCTAATTAAACTTGAAGAAACTCATCAACAGTATACTGGCCACTAGATCTGAAGAAACTCATAAACACTATACTGCCCACTGAATTCTTCGTCCATGGCAACCTATGAAACAATGAGAAATACAAAAGGGCCCCCAGTCCAGTCCAGTCCGGTCCAGTCTTCTTCCACTTCTCTAGTGATGAAGATAGAATAGATGAAAAGAGGGCATAAGGTGCTAAGAATCATACAGTTTTTAGGTCATCTATAAATATTAACTCTAGGTAGTCTAAATGTCCAATGATCAAATGGATATACTTCTAAAAGACTAAATCATATAAATCTTGGTATTCCCACAATAAATAAAATCAGAAAACAAAAGTTGTGATAAAGAAGAAAGACTCCCAGATTTTTCTTGGTGGGGCAAATAAATGATGGACTTGGTATGCTCAAAGGCAATAAGAAACATAATTGATGGGACACTCAGTCACCTTGTATGGCAGTGCTCATTATGAACATTAGCAAAAAGACCACCATGAAGATAATTAGAGCTCATGTACTATCTGTTGCCAGGAGATGAAGATGAAGAAAAAAATTTTTACTTACTTTTACTTTACTCAATAAGACCCTCCAAATTAAATCAACATATACTTTAATATTTGGTGACTTCAATAAAAAGATATGAATAGAGGATTATGGAAACTATATTGGAAACTATGTCTCAGGACTGACAAATGAAAATGGCCAAACTTACAGAAGCCTTTTAACTATATATCAAGGATATTTTCTTTAAGACACACACACACACACACACACACACACACACACACACATACACACACACACACGTATATACAGCCAAACCATTGACTTGTTAGAACAAAGATAAATATCAAATTGTTACAAGAAAAAATAAAAATGAGAAGGTATTAAATTAAAACTCTAATAGGGCCTCTTTAAATAAGCTATTGATGCAGCTCAAATGGGAAATGAATAAAAGAATAGACACTGACACAGGCCATCTGCACAGAGGTAGGCCAGAATAGGAACGTGGCCTGTTACCCCACTGAAAAATGTAAACTACCTTGAGTAAATGTAAACAGCGAAAGCAGCTCCAATTATCCAATGGGAAAACCTGCATGTGACTCTGGGCCATCCTTGGCACCATGCCTTCTTTGTTCTGTTTCTATATAATATCTGACCTGGCCTGGAGTTGGTACAGGATCCATTACACCATTTTGTCCTCCTGCAAAGACCGAGTCTGAGTCTCATGAGTAAACTCCCTCAAACAACTCAATTAACCCAACAAACCCTAATAAGCCTACATACACTTATAACCAAGCAGGCATGGGCCCCTCTCTTTCTCTGGTATCTCAGTATTGTCTTGGAGGATCTGCATCCCTACAATTGGCATTTCAGATCAACTCTCTTATATCTAGCCTTACAATGAGCATAGTTGGCAGGATAGTCTACCCTAATATAAATCTTGTGTCCTTACACCATCACTACTTCATAGGGAAGTTTAACTGATATGAATCAACCACCACAATGAGGTAAAAAACCTTAAAAATCATCTCAACTAATAAATTCCTTGCCAAGTGGACAGATATGGAAACCACGGGTAACACTATTTTAGAATGTAGACTATTTATAAAATCTTATAGAGAAGGATGGTGAAAGATGAGCAGTATTGCTTCAAATAATAATAATGGGTGGAAAGAAAAGCAAATTTGCAAAAAAAGCTTGAGAAGAGACTCAATTAAGCCAGATAGCCCTGAGAATATTTAAGAATGAAATTTGAAGTATCACAGCAAGTGGATGAAAAGTGAAAAAATAATGTGACTACTTCTATAGTGAACTATATCAAAGACAAAGAATGGAGCACTTTCTAATATCACAGTCCCTGAGGTACTAGCAGCATGACTACAAATAACATTCCTGTTAGCACACATTGCTGCCTGCAGACTTGCATACAACTTTCTGGGAGAAGTAGTCTTGAGAATTTTCTCTCAAAGAGTGGGACACCCAACCCAACTGTATTTCACTGCATAATCGTCAAGACCACATAATCGTCACACTGGGTTTTTTTTTCCAGTCCAAATATTGATTTATAACCTTTCATCATGTAATCGTCGCATGGTATAATTCTGTATGTCATGCTGCTTAAAAGGTAAACAAAGCAGCAATGTGTTCACCAGTGCCATATGGGTAAGCATTTATCTTTTGTGTATTGTGAGCTGTGAGCTTCGAAAATTCTCAACGTACCCACATGGTCAGTGTATTTCGGAAAGCTGACTTGTGTGGGTTGTTTGGAGCACTGTAGTACTAATAGTATTGTCACTCAACCCAACGAAGAGCCATAGTTGCAACGGGAGTGGGCTCTCCGTGAGTAAATCGCATGATATGGTAAGACTTGCATCTTCCCGTGCTAGGTAAACCATGCAGTTTGTCTGCCAGTGATACAGTTTAGTAATAAATGATTTTTAAGTAATGGCACATTTTTAAAGCTTCATATAGTGATTATACTCCACTTTTTTGCAAAAAAAAAAACAGCATAAAGGATCTAAGACATCTCCAAAAATCTCATGATAGAAAATACTATCCATATCCAGAGAAAGAACTATGGAGTCTGAATGCAGATGGAAGCATCCTATTTGCTCTTTTTTTTTCTCTTGTTTGGTTTTGTTTCTTCTTTCTTGTCTCCTACTGATTCTAATTCTTCTTTACAACATGACTAACGTGACAATATGTAGAACAGGAATGTATATGTATAGTCTATATCAGATTGCATACTGTCTTGGGGAGGGAGGAGGAGAAAATTTAAAACTCAAAAGCTTATGGAAGTGAATGTTGAAAACTAAAAATTAATTAATTAAAATATGGTACGGGAATGTAGAAGTCTTACAGAAGAGAAAGCAAAGGGGAAGAATAGGTGGATTAGACATAGTAAACAGTGAGAACAGCCATATGGAAGGGTAACCAACAGGCCTCAAATCTCTTGGGGAGTTGGGAAGATGTCTACCCCAAGCATGTGAAGACTACCCCGGTGTAATGGGTGGATGAGAACAATTTGTTCCAACAGCCACAAAGGCAACAAAATTAGGTATTGTGGAGCACTTAGAGCTTGAACAGACATCAAAGATACCAAGGTTATCCACTACATCTGGAGCCATCTCTGTTTGTCCCAACTTTTGTCCTGCCAGTGGTCTTTGATGACTCTGAAAGAGAGAGTATAGCTGATGACAATTTACAATGTATTGAGGGATTGACTGTCAAGCTTTCTGAAAGGGAGGATACCAAATACCTGAGGTAAAAAAACACCACCGCAAGTGTTATTCCTCCCTCCTTAATCTTATTACCAAAAAAAAAAAAAAAAAAAAAAGGTTGAGTAAAACCAGTGGATCTTTTGTATATCTTATTTGCATGTAGTTGTTTGCATGTTGTCACCCCCATTAGACTTTGAGTTCCTTGAAAGTAGGGCCTGTTTTTTATTTTACTTTGGATTCCCAGCATTTAGCACAATGACTGGACCACAGTTATCACTTAATAAATGTTTGTTAATTGATTGACAATATTAATATCAATCCATATGTCTTCTTTCCCAGCTGTATTCTCTTTATGAGAATAATCAATAGTTATGGAAGGTATACTTTCTGTAAGTTTTATTGACATATTTTGTTTTATATACTAGTCACTCTCAATATAAATACCTGCTTGCCATTGAACTCCCTTGTAAAAAAAAAAAAAACTGACAACATGACCATGTCTGGTAGTGTATGCAACTTTCTGCCCTGGCAGACCTATACCTCTAAAATGACAGGAAAGGGAAGTTAATTCATCATCTGGCCTCCAGACCAGGATTGTTCATTGTAATTAGCTTATGTTTGGCTGTTTTTAGTGTTATTTTTGCCTATATTGTTGTTCTCCTGGTTCTACTTTCTTTATATGTATCAGTTAATACAAATTGTCCAATGTTTTAAAGGCACCCTCAATGATGGCATAAGAAGAGAATGAGAGGTTTTCCCAATCAATATTGAAGATGAGTCCACAGGGGTACATTTGACTAAAAATTATGGAATATACTAGATCTCACTGTGCTTATTTGTTGACTATGAGAAAGTATTTTATCACATTGAACAGAATGCCATGTTAAAGATTTTCCTCCAACAAAATGTCTTCTATGCATGTGTTAAAATCATGTAAGATTCTACTCAAAGATGTAACAGTTAATCAGCAAGCACTGATTAAGTAAAAATTAGACTGTTTAGCTCTCAAAAAGCCTACATTCTAGTAGGGAGACACAACACATTCACAGGTAAGTAAATATAGAATATGTACAAGATGATAAAGTGATTGGGGTGGGGAATAATACCTGAGAGGGACTGCAGGGCCACTTGAAGGAAGTGGTCCTTGAGTTGAACCATGAAGGGAGCTAGAGGTTATAAGAGTTGAAGGTGAGGAAACACTGATGACTTTCTAGTTCTATAGGCATAAAGCATGGAGACCTATGCCCACCAAAGGCCACTGTCATGGAGGATGCATAACCAAAAGTCCAAGTCAAAGAGTGTTTTCCTTATATATGGCAATATCCTACAGATGCTCCTGTTTGACACTGTTCTAACTGCATCTAGCCTTAGAATACTGCAAAGTCTACTTGCTGAGATCCACAATCACACAAAAGTTCAGCCTAATATCTACGTAAGTGAATAAAGCATACTTGTTAACCAGACTGTGATTACAAACTGAGGTCTTGAATTCAGGTTCTCAAAACCCAGTTTTCCTTCTCATACATCAATTTGGTATGATGGCATACCTACTCTATTTTGGGTGATTGTTTAAAAATAGATACATTAAATAACTTTCACAACACTTTTAATATGCAAACAATTTACATATTATCTAAAGTATTTCATATTGGATACTTTTCTTTTTGATGGCACAATAGACTAGTATTCTCTTGGCTAGGACTTTCCAGTCCTAGGATATACCATACCTTTACCCTGAAAATTATTACTAGGTTTATTACTAATTGAGATATTGCTACATAATCTTTAGATTTCTAGACATCCTATTGAACACCCTAAAAACAAAATTATAGTAAGAAAGGGGAGGAATTTTTTATTCAT